ATGATTAAGACTATATTAAATGTATAGGCATACCGTTCGAATGAGCAAATGAGTTATTCTAGACGACGGTGTTGTCGTACCTACATAATATTATACTAAATTTGTGCGCGTTAATAAAATAAAAAAAATTTAAAAATCAAGTTTATCTATACACTTGTAACACAGAACTATCTATCTTTGTTTCAATTTGAAAACAAAAAAAATATGGTTTATAATTTAATTAATAAAGTGGGCTCGTGGTCATTAAATTTTCTCTAACGAATACAATAGTATATAAAAATAAACTCTCGATTATATTTATATTTATTTTGCGCGTGTCCTAGACCCATAAACTATAGTCACATATTGAATTGCGTCTTCTACGCCTTTTACCTAACGAAAAATTCGGACATCTGATAAGTGAACGGAGGCAGGTTTCCGTATCCGGGAAGAAAAACGACATTTTCCATTAAAAAACAATAATTTATTATAAATAAATATCATAGACGACGTGTTAAAAATCATAATATTATTTATAATAATAGATTCGATACTTTTCTTCTCAAAAACTAGACTTGTTTATTTTTTTTGTTACCATCAGATTATTCCCATTCATTATATCAAATGTCATCTGCTTAAATTTTACTAAACAGTCCACTAGTTGATAGATATATATGTATTGGATATTAAATATACATAATAAACATCAGTCACCATATTTTGAAGTTGAAAATTAGACAATCTTAACAGCCTATCGTGTTCCAGGGCCATCTATTCGTGATTATTAGATTCGTACCGATAGAAAATAATTTTAACGTTTTATGAATTTTATTTTTGAGGTTATGCTGTGTCATCGTTATCAAAACCCCGGGAGAAGTGATACCTGTACAGGTGGCCTAAACATAAACGAAAAGTTGCGTTTTTTCTCCTGTGGTAAATCATTTATTACGTTTTTAACAAATCAATAATAAATGAATATTATTCTATAACAACTTTTAAGCAGGTTTATTATAATATGTATGGCACTTGTAGCACTATTAGTCATTTTAAAGGACTGTATAATAATTATAATATATATTTTAGTTCGTGGTTATCATGATTTAAGATACTATACTATCTTAAATTGTAATGGTTATTTGAAATCACGGTTATGGATATCTATAGCCGTGTTTTAAAATAGTATAATGCCATAAACTCAAAAAACAGCTGTAAGGCAATTTTGCAGTGTTACAATTTGGAAATAAATTCGCCTCACTACGTGAAATGTTGATAAGGTATTGTTGTCCGACCGTATCTTCTATAAGACAGTATTTAAAAAAATTAATAATCAATAAATAACTAGAATTGGAATATTATCGCCACGTACTTTTTATGTACATAAACAATATTATTGCCTAATAGTTGTAGTTTATTGATGCGAATAGGCAAGGTTAAATATTATTTTTTTATGTACATATATTAAACGTTATGTTTAAACATTTTAGATTCTGAATGAAGCAAATAATGTATTGGTATCATTATAATGTGTTTTTTTTCGTGTCTGTAAACCACTTTTCTATTAGAAATCCAATCAAAAACTTAATAAGAACTCTTGTAGCATGCAGTCGGTGTAGATATTGAGGAGGTCATTTTTTGATTTTCTTTGTTATTATCTGAATAAATGGGAAAAACTGACAATTTATTTATACTATAATTTTTGTTGATTTCAGGGTTACTTTGGCGGCAAAGGGCAATTTATATCCTGCTTAGTATAAATTTTCGTTAACAATGGTTTACCATTGCATACAGATATACATTTAATTACTCTACATGTCCTCCATTCCAATGTTCCTCCTAAAACAGCTACACACCAATCAACAGTACAAGATTTATTTTATTTTTGTAAATGTTATTTAAATGTTTCTTTTTTTTTTGATGATATTTTGTGGTGTACGCATAACAAATCTACTATACGATACACAACATAATATAGAGAGACGTAAAACGAATTTGAATATCTGTGTGTGTTTGCGTTAAGCATGTTAAATATTGTAATGATATGCTATGTAAGCTATCATACATTATGTAAAATAAAATATTATGTAATGTTAATAAATCAAACAATTAATAACAGGAATGATAGTAAAACATTTACATCCGATTCCATTCTTTTTTATTATCAAATAACATATATTTTAGTACGATATTTACTCATCGTAAGGAGATAATACTTAAGCTATCATATATAATTAAAATAAATTATATAATCAATATTGTAAAATAATTATAATAATTTGTAGTCATTAATTATTAGATTAAGTTGTTAGTATTAACTAAATTAAGATAGCACATTTACACACGCACACACACATATTTCTCCAGTTATAAGGAGGCCGGCCACTTCCAATAAAC